GGATCAGAATATTATGATGGGGCGATCCAGCGCATTGAAGTAAAATTTCCATCACCAACGCGCGAGTCATGACCCGGATCTTTGACCACTTTATGGAACCAACAAAATTGACATTCACCAGCTCCAATGCCTGAAGCACCATCTTGGGCTTCTTTGGGGGTCTTTGCAAGTGTTTTTGAGCTCGTGGCGACGGTATTCTCTCTGTCCTTGTCTTTGATGACTCTCCACTTCCTAGATCTTTGTGGTCACGATGTCCAAAACGAGGTTTATGGCGGTCGTTCTGCACAAATATTATTCCCCCCTTATTTCACCTAATCCCGCAACATTCTCGTGTGATCCCACAACATTTGGCCTGATCCATGATGCTGCAATTATTATTTGACCCGCAACTTTCTATTTTAAGCCCACAACTTTTGATTTTGACCCGCAACCTTTATATCCCATGATTGCACAACTTTCAGGCTGGTCATGATTGATAAGAGTGAGATCGGTCATGTTTGTCCTCGCCGTTGCCTCATGCCGGGCATCGTTCTGCAATGATGTTCTTTTTACTCGTGCAGCCAACTTGTGTCAAGAGCAATGGTTCACCCAGCCACCATCCCAGAGCTTCCTGATTACCCCGGTCCTGGTGATTGGTCGGAAAATGTTCACCAGGCATTTGGTATCCTTTCCGAGCATTATGCTCAATGTGTACGGCTTCTCTGAAGTGAGGACCATGAGCCCCTATGCCTTCGAATACACCTGGATGAAATTAACACCCATTTCATTCCGATTTTCAAGGCGCTTGATGTCGAGATGCAGAGATCACGTTGGGTTTTGCAGGCAGCAGATGTCATGTTGACGATGGCATTGGATCTGGAAAGGGCCGCTCTCGAGGCTGAAAGCAGGTGTGCCGTCTTACCAATAAAATTTGTGAATTGTCTACATTACATCATTTGCTATGTAGAATCCCTGACGAGAATACAAGTGTTATGCTTGTCGACCCGTTCAAACACTCTTGTACAGGCCGTCCAGGCCGCCCTCGAAAACAGATAAACCCTGAAACCCTGAAGGAGGCCTTCTCAGCACATTGGAAATTCACCATCCAGAAACTCGCAGATGCACTGGGTGTTCATCATAACACGCTTCGTGCTCAGCTCAAGGTTCACGGAATATACAAGCACTTCTCAGAGATTACTGATTTGGAGATCGACATCATGATCCGTAACTTCAAGCAGCAACGTCCCAAGTCTGGCATATGTTATGCCCTAGGTTACTCTCATCAGCACAGAATATGTATCCCCCAACAACGGGTACGTGAATCCCTTCAACGTCTGGAGCCTGTTGGCCAAATTATTTGGCATCATGCTGCTATCGCTCGTTGAGAATACCGAGTATCTCGTCCTAACGCCGTATGGCATTGTGATGGCCATCATAAGCTTATCCGTTGGGGTATTGTAATACACAGGTTTATCGACGGGTATTCAAGGATGGTAAGTGAATGATCTCTTAATTACGACCTTAATTGATAAACCTCTTGGACCAGCTCGTTGGACTTCGCCCCAGCACAAACAACCGAGCGAATACGGTACTTGATCTATTTTTGGATGCTGTCCACCATTACGGAGCACCCTCTCGAGTTCGTGGTGATCAGGGAGGCAAAAACATCGCAGTCTCAGTCTGGATGATCAAATTTAGAGGCCCAAATCGGGGCTCATTTTTGTGGGGACCATAAGTTGCCATCTTGTTGCACGCAGTTATGGATGGTCTTAAATTTGAAAATCCTATCAGGTCGACTCGGAATACACCTGTCGAGCGAAATTGGGGGGAAAACGGGAGCCAGTATGTGCATTACTGGCAGGCGTTCTTCCGGCGTCTTGAACAACTCCATCAACTTGATCCATCCAAACTGGGTCACCGTTGGCTGCTGCATGTCCTTTTTCTTGACGAGATAGAGGAGGATGCGAGTAATTTTCAGCAGGACTGGAATCACCATCCAATGTCAGGTGTCGGGCATGATCAAACACCCTCTGTAAGTACTTCTCATTATCCTAGCATAGTCTATTCATTATGGGAATCATAGGACCGGCACTTCCTTGGCCAACTACAGCATGGGTTGTACAGAGACAGTGCCCTTGGTGTGCACCCAGATACCCTGAGACAGTACAGAAATGATGATGATGAGATCAACGAGCAAATCGCCGACGAGCAAGAGCATAACATCCGTCACGACGCAATTGAAGTCGCTGAGAGTAATTGCCCCTTCTACAGTAACAAGGCTCGCCAATTGTTCTTTAAACTCCTCGACGACTACAACAAATTCGACGGGATCCCTGGTGGCTTTGGATTGCGCGAGTCGGAATGGGAAGACAAGATGTATCCCCAATCGGAATTCATCAAGGTTGGTCGAAAGACTGTTGAGATGCCTATGCCATTTGCGATCTGGTTCCGTCGCGCTGTCATATGGGGGAGGGGTCTCGTGCTGATGACTAGAATACTTATTGATGAGGGGTCACTGTAATCCATCTCTATTCAGCTAATCTATTGTAACTGCATCTCTCAACTCTGGCTTCATGCATTATGCAGTTGTATACAGTAGGTTCCGATGGTACTGCTACCACTTGGTCAAGATTTTGAGGTCACCGGGGAAAGACAAACGCGACGGTCGAAGCGATCTCGGCGGCCCGAAAGTTGCGGGGCTTCAAATGGAAAGTTGCGGGTCAAAATCAAAAGTTGCGGATCAAATAATAATTGCGGCATCACGGATCAGGCCAAATGTTGCGGGATCACACGAGAATGTTGCGGGATTAGGTGAAATAAGGGGGGAATAATATTTGTGCAGAACGACCGCCATAGAGGTTGAGGTCTTCCATGTCGCCAATAGGGGCGGATTTGAGTGGGATTTGGCGTCGAGTTCGAACGACATGGAGATCCATCTTCTGCTCTTGCCAGCGGCAAGCTTGTAAGTTCGAAGAGCGTTACCCCTAAGTTGAATTCAGCGACACTTTGGCGGTTGGTTGGTTCAATTGCTGCCTGCTCTCCTATATCCCCTTGCGGACTACTTCGATAAGATAAGATCATACAGAGTGCGCCACAGTCACCAAGATGTACTCAAAATGGATGCCACAGAGTAACGGCTGATACGGCGATCCCGTGAAGTCCTTGCTTTGTTCAAAGACCATACCTCCCAATCTCCTTCAAGGAAAGCTTATTCAATAGCTTCATAGCATCAACGCGATAGGTATCGAAGGTTATGTTGACAGACGGCGGGGGGTCGACGAATGTGAATAGAGGCGGGTTCTCCGTAGATGAGCTGTAAAGATCCCATCTTGTGTGGCGGAGAAGACTGATGGAGTCTTGCGGGGCGTTCGGGTCGCCGTTGTGAATGAAGTAGACTATTCAGACGTCCAATGGATGAGTCAACGCGAGGCACGAATTAGAGAAGAAACCCACTCAGAGCATCGGCCCCTATGAATCCGGTGTCGGTGTCTAGGGCCATGAATTCAGGGACGTCGCTGCCATGGGCGACACCAAGGTAAGGAACACCGTTTGAAGGAACACGCATGTACCCTGCGCGATGTCAGACGGGTTGAAGAGCAGCAAATGTATTTAAACCAGCTTACTGAAGCCATAGACGGGTTGTCTCTTTGAAGCAATCGCCGAGAAGGACCGGCGTGTTGCTTGGAACGTTAGATCTCCCTGGAAGGCGGAAAGTCTCTTGTACTGTGGGCTGAATAGTACATATCCAGAGTTTAACTTTTCGGTAAAGAAAAAATACAGCGAAGTACTGACCTGAATACATGAGCCGTCCCTGTGTTGAAAGGAGAACCCTGGTAGCAAGACGATATAAATGAGGGAACGGGGGGTACTGGAGAACATTCCAATACCTGGGTAACATCATCAGGATACGCGATTTCTAGGGCCTTCAAATCTTCATCTGAAATCTTGTTGAAATAGCTACGGAAGGAGTTTAAAGTTCAGATGAAAATGCGACAAAAAGAATTGCGCTTACTTGCTCTTCGCAAATTCAAGGAATTCGGCATTGTTTCTATTGATGGTGGAAGGTGAATCGACGGCTTCAACCAGAAGGAAAGGGTTTCATACGTTATGTTTGTCATGACCAAGGAAAGGAGCCTTGAAAGACGAGTGTCATCGACGACCAATATGTAAGGACATGAGGCGACTTACGTTCCCTCATCCTCCGTACACCCGGTCATTACAGGAATCTATCACAAGCGTGTAAGCAGAGCATATACTCCCTCTTACCATCATCGTGACGTACATTAGAGAATTTCCCCATCTTGACAGACAATTGAGGGTCGCGAACGATGATGTTCCCATCCACCATGGGCTGCCAGGGAAATCTGCCGCCTGCGAACAGCGCTGCTCTAGATCCATGTTGCACCGCCGCAATGAGGGTGTCGTATGGTGCGTCTCTGAGACACTCCAACCGGTCGACTGCGTCGGTGCAGTTGGTGGCAGTTACGAGCGCGTCGAAGTGCCTTTGCTGCCTGACGATATCAGGAAGGACCATAGGTGACCCGGACCCCTGAGAGTTGGGTTGAGGTTGAGCAAGGAAAGAGGTGGAAAGGAACGGGAGAAAAAGGTGCGGCATACCATGACACCGCCGTGGAATAACCCGAGTTGATTTCCATCGTTTAGGACCATGTGCATGGCGACAGACATGGCACCTGCGCTAACGCCCCAGCTAAGGATGTCGACTGAGTACGACGTAAACCCTGTAGCAGGTCCCGGAAGGGCTCACATCGTAACTTTCTTGCGATCGCCTCCGAAATTTCCGATGTGTTTTTGCACCCACTGGAGGGCGAACCGCTCTGGAGGAAAATTGGGACATATCTCAGTTATGAGGGAGCGGTTACGCTTTGGCGGTCACTCACGATCTCGCAATCCCACATTCCCGAGCCGTGCAGCTTCGACTTCTTTGCCGCCCAAGAACCCAAATGCTACGAGTGAAATTATCCGTCAATCCGGATACAAGAAGAAAAAAAAGAGCTACGCACCATTGAGGCGATAAGCGGCGGTCACTAGGATCACCGGCGCACCGAGGTCTATGGACCTGTTCACAAGAGTGCCGCCGTGAAGCTGCGAAGTGTCACCCATTGCGAATCCTCCTGAGATGACGTCATCGTTAGAGGGCGGTTCCTCCGTCAAACGCACTTACCTCCATAAATGTACTGGAGAGTGGAAGCAAAGATAAATCTCAGCGGATACTACGTGGTGGCTCAAGGAGAGGACTCACGAAAAGGACGGGAAGCTCTTGGCCATCTGGGATGCTGGCTGGCTTGATCACATTGAGACACAAGCCTTAACGTTCGTCAGTCACAGCGGATGAGCATCTCTCGCAAATATAGAACGTACAATCCTCGGAGATGTTCGCAGGACGAGGGAGAGGTAGGTCGATCTCAGCCTCTAGCTGAGGACAGGCCGGGGCGAATTCAGTCGCTTTGCGGACACCCTCGAATGTTATCGGGTTGGTAGGCGGCTCAAATCTAAGTCTCCCGATACTAGAGAACAAAAGAATGGTCAAATCTACGTCAGAAGGGAAACAAAACTGCTGGAGTCCGGGTGAAGAGGGCTCACGGTGGGGCAGCAAACGGAATGCCTAGGAATTCGACGAGGTTTCCCGATTCCTTCCCTTCGAAGGATCCATAGGGCAATTTGACCAGCGTAGGCGAGGGAGGAGAGGAGTTTGCTATGATTTGCGACGTGAGAGACGCAGAGAGAAGGAGGTGTTTGAGGTGTCCAAAAAGCATAGAGGACGTGAGGTTGGTGCTGAGTGATGGGAGTTCGTTCAAGCCATTCGTTTTATGCTACAGGAATCCCTTGAGAAGACTTGTAAAACGGGATGTCGTCCAAGCTGCTCGGGACCTGCGGTGATGAAGAACATGACCTTCAGCGCGCGGATTGGAAGATGGTATTTCTTTGGCCGCAGCGCGCAGCGGCTCACTACTTGCAGTCGATTATATAAGATTATGTAAACTCCGCTGTGCCAAGATCCTTTCAACGCTAACTGGCTACACACTCGATAACATCTTCCACTTGAACCCATTCATTGGCTCTTATCCATGTGGCCTGCACGAAGATCGCAACGCTCCTCCGAATTGGTATTTTCGCCTCTCCTTGTCTGCAGAGTATCTAATCGACGGTAGGCCATTCGATAGACGATCTCGATATCAGACTGAAGGAGCTGCGTACCCGTTGACGCCCAACTCCTGCGGATCCACAACTAAGACCCAACATCGCGTCCGCAGACACGAGCGCTTCTGGACAAGACCCGTCAGCTTTGCCCAGTTTGTGTACCACTCCGAAGTGAAGCTGCGCACGGTCATTATTGGCGAGCCTGCGAGGTATATTCGACCACCATCTGAAGCCAAATGTGTTTATTCTCGATCGTTTGTACTTTCTTTTCCTAACTAGAACCCATACATAGGGCAATTGAGAATGGCGCCAACTTCCTCGCAGAGGGCTTCTTACTCACGATCGCCGCGAGGCCCAACATTAATAAAACATGGCGCAGCTCACAGAACCAGTCCGACGGACACGACAGCGTCGACGACTCCCTAAAAGGCCTCGGCGAGCAAATAGCGGCTCTGACAATTTGGGTAGGCGAGCTGGTGAAGACGTGGGAGTGAGGAAGGGACGAGGAGAGGGAGGAGTAGATCTCGGCTTTTCAAGCTGGATCTTGCTGACGTGTTGAATGTTTAGGAGCGTCGAGCTCTCGTGGATCCTTGAATGCGTCGTCGAGATTGGCCTCCGAGATGGATGAGTGAACTTCCAAGGTCCACCACTGCAATTTCCACGCATACAGCCGGCTCCTCTACTCGGCCTGGGGATTGTCGTCCTTGCAACCTTCTGCATGCGCGCCCGTTCGTTGGGCAGGTACCTTTTTAGTGGACACACCACCACACCGAAGAACAAAGCGACGAGCTGGGCTCCATACCTGTTTTTGCGTATCAAAATCGACATTTTCTACGCAATCCTAACGCCAGACGTACCTACATCTAATAACAGATTCTAACTCTCACTCAAACGCTGCAAAAATTGAGGTTCTCGTCGTCTAACCCAAGGTGGAGCTGGAACGTCATGATAAGTTCTGTCCGTGAAAACGCCATTATCTTCCAGCTCAACGGCCACATCATCATGTGGTTGTACAACGCTGAACCGTGGGGGAGGGTGGTGTATGCCACCAGAACACTCCCATGTCCATCCCAGATACGCCAGCCAGTCCTCTTGGACTTGAAAATCGCCATAGTCCCCCTCCGGCTCCAAGGTCCGGTAATCGGTTTCGTCGCCATCGCCGTAGTCGTGGTACGGGATGACATCCACATCGACGAAATTGTAGAGAACGAACACCCGACCGAAAAGACCCGGGCGCTCGTCGAACACGAGCCACGTTGTGCTGGCCCGGCGTCTCCATATAAGTAATGCAGGAACGAACTCGACACCTGGGTAGCCGTCCTTGAAGATGAGAGCAGAAAGCTGGGGAGGCTGGCGGGAGATAAAGTTAACCCCGCGCATGCGCTCGATGTTCGAAGTCTTGCAGTCGAGAAGAGGTAGGCCAGGCCAGATGGAGCGGATCGCAGCACGCCCCGGCCATTCGAGGATGAACATCCGAAAGTCCGGCGGGATGAAGGGGTACTGCGACTCGAGGGCGGCGATGTACGCCTCGCGGTCGAAGAGCTGCAGGTGGGTGACAGTCCAGGGGCGGGTAGAGAGGAAGTATGGCGAGTTGATTACTGTGTCGTAGAGATCGATGAGTCGACGGCGGGTAGGGTCGAGATCAGCGAGGGGGACGAGGCGGCGCCAGGTCGTGCAGATACTTCGCGATAATATAAGCGTCTTGAGAGCCATGAACGAGAAAGAGTGAAGCCAGAGTTCGTTGGGCAGCTCTGTCGTTGGGGGTTTCGATGGAAGAGAATTAGGGGAGTCAATGTTGGAGGAACTGGATATGCTGGTTCCTGAGTCATCCGCGTCGCACAGCGGATGCTCGCGGGAGCGGGACTGACCCATTCTCGAATCTTGAAGGCTTGTACTCAGAGATGGACCTCCAAGAATTCGGAGGTCGTTGTACCGATGAAGTTATGTATTATCGCGGTCATCTCTGGCATCGAAAGCGAGCGTAATTTATGGGACGCCTCCGTCAACCAAGGCGAAAGGAATTGAGGATTCGGCCTGACATTAGCCTAGCAGCTATATGTCTCGTGTCGCCACGACTCAGTGAGAGGTCGATTTCCAGGGAAAGGGAGAGCCGAATGGTTCGTCCTCCTCCCTATCCTACGACAGCGGCAGATGGACGAACGAAGATTGCAATGCCATCAGCGCAGGGTCGAGAACTATGAATCAAGTAGGGTATATGCAGCTCAGAGGTGGCGTTGGAGAATTCATCGCGTGAAGGCGGGGTATGGGTGAGATGACGACGAGGCGAGGGTTGACGATCATTTTCGACGACGTGAAACGGAGGAATTGATGATGTTGAATCATTTATGGTCGTTTTCATCGCTGGCGCAGCGCAGTGGTTCCATCTCGTCATCTCCATCGCAGTTCTTGCGAACATCTTCTGTACAAGCGTCCTTCGCTCCGGCATCTTCATCGTCTGTAACCGCGGCACAGAAGGACAGAAGGCGCAGATCGTCTCTTATCGCCGTAGCGGTGTCCGATCTGTGCTTGCCTTCTTGCTATCCGATTGAATTTGCAGTTCAGGATTAATATCCGCTCTCACTGCCCCAACGACGGACATTTCCTCCTCCTGAATTGACGCCACGTCTCAGCCTGACGATACAAAGTCTCGCCCAAATGGCGACAGGATCGACCGTGGCGGTGGTTTGTTTGATTATCGCCTCGTCGTGCCAGAAAAAAGCTACCAACTCCTTGCGAACGCCGCGCGTTGTGACGAGTTGCCAAAGTGATTCACCCACACGCACAGCGCTAATAGAGGCTTTGCGCAAAGCCAGCTGGAGCCAGTGCTGGCTCAAAAACGTTGCGCTGTGTCGTGTAGCCAGTAGCGGCCAATTAGTGACTATGCTTTTAACTTAGTCTTATGTAGTACCGTGTATGTCTGGATGCCAGGGGAGTTCAATGACAATGCAAGTATCTCATTGTATTCATCCGTACAGCTACGACAATCTCCAGAAACTAACCTATATATAGAAACTGAGCCAGCAGAAAATATCAACCGTGATCAACCGTTGATCAACCACCCCACAGACTGATATCGCGTGGAGCTCTCCAGGAAACACGAGGTTATAGAGAGATGTAAGTAATATTAATATATGGCATTCATCGGTCTGATATTCAGGTTCTGCTGGCTAAAGGTCTCAGCGCAACGCATTTGAGCCACCACTGGCTCCAGCTGGCTTTGCGCAAAGCCTCTAATAGCGACTCGCGAGAATGAACACGATTTGGACAGCAGTGCTTCCGACTGCTATTTTTATTGGTCCGACATCAAGAAAAGTCTCCTCCGTGCACTGCAGCCTGGACGGCTCCATCATAATGACGATCCAAATACACAGGGCAAAAGCGCCGTGGATGAGTCGAAAAACCCACAGAACAACCTTCATGCGCTTGTTGATCAGAAGGTCGACACCGCCGGTGAGACGAAGTGGAAGGGATTTCACAGCCCAATCCACGACGCCGTAGCTGAGCATGAGGGGTCCCTCGAGGATCCACGTCGTCTGGAGGATGAGCATGACTGTAGAAAGGTAGGCGCGGGATAGACCCGGCCGAAAAGTCTTTGCCATTACATAACGTCACCTCCAACTTACATAACGCTTCAAAGTCTATATTTTCTGTCACTGTGAAACCTATTTCCTGCTTCCCTTTTTTTGCTCTCGTCCCTTGCTCGTCCCTCTTGGATGTTTGTGTATGCATATTCTCTACTGGTTCGAACATCAACTTGGCGCACTGGCAACGAGAGATTTAAGTATCTGCTTTTCATTGTCGAGTACCCGGCTCTATGCGCTTGCGCGAGGGGCGAGGCGTGAGGCGTGCTATGATACAGTACACAGTACAAGATTCGGAATAGGAATGCGTATAACCTAGTCAAAGGCCCGAGGAAGTGTGAGGATACAAGATCTAGAGAAACCCAAAATGAACCGAAGGAAATAGGATGTACAGGGGGATAAAGTGGGAATGGGAACGGGAATTGAAGGTGAACCAGCCTGCCCTCGTCCTTCGAGGAGGAGGGGTGAGGGGTAGAAAAAATTGTGGGAGAATGAGGCACCTCGAGAGGCGGGCATGTGGCGTGAAGCTCTGTGCGTGTACAGGTGTCGAGCTGGGTCGGGGAGTAGTGGAGTGGTTAAGGTGGTCCTCGAGTAGCAGCTGGAAGGGACCCAGAGGGCACGAAGAACGACGAGGAGACAGAAATGTGGGCGGGGAGTGTGCGCTCGATGGTCGCACAGCGCTCTTCTTCGCGGATGAGTTTATGCCCGGGCGTCCGCATCTTCAACGGCGTACCCAGGTGCGAGCCTGTTCGCCCTCGGCACCCTCACCGCCAGCCTCTCGCTCCTCTGCTCGGTCGGTACGCCCGGCGCAAGCCCCGCATACCCATCCGCCTCTCTGGCGATCTCTAGCGCCGCGATCTCCCGTGCGAGCGCGTCATCGACGCGGCGAGCCATTGCACGGGTGTTCTGGACGTATGTCCGCCCGAGGAGGCTCAATGGGCTCTCGCCAGTTGCTGAACCTGCAGGGGCAAGGGCGGAGAGCGGGTTGGCACCACCGCCGCCGCCGAGGGGTGACTCGGATGTGGATCCAAGAGGTGTCGGTGAAGAGGAGGGCGACCCCAACATGGAGGTGAGACCGGAGAGCGTGTCCCCAGCGCCGCTTTCGGGCGAGGAGGAGGATTTGTGAGGCGGTTTGGACCTCGCGGGCGGGTTGAAAGAGTAGGAATTGCCATCGGGGAGCGCTATTGGTCCTGGGCCGCTGAGTGCGGGTGTGGGTGCACCAGCGGGGTTGGGGTTGGGACTTGGCTCGGGATTTGGTAGGGGAGCGGCGAGCGCGGGTAGGAAGGTCGTGAAAAGCAGGATAAGGAAGAAGGTGAACGTGGCGGGTGTGGTGGCGAACATCGTAAAAGGCGGGTGAACGTGGCGGGGGTTGGGCGGGTTTAGGTGTGGTTGAAAACCGAAAAGGCGTGCGTGTGGGCGGGCGATAAGGTCAAGGAAGGTGCGTCGGTAAGTTGGCTACGACGTATGGGCAATTCCGTCCTGGGCGGGGTCGGCGCAAGGGCGTGTGCGCTGCACTGGCGGGGTGGCTTGAAGGAACGAGAGTGGGTGAATGAACGACGGGTTCGATTCAAGGGGGGTCCACTCGTCAAGAGCAGGTCTTTATCTATGCGTATCACCGTGTACAAGTGTGATTCGAACATCAACGTCAACGTCAGATCCCTTCATTCCGTCTTGAGTGTTACGGAATAGACGTACCTATAAGAAGCAGCGAGACTCTCAGCCTGCGTGCGACGCGTCGATGTCGCGGTTCTAAGAAAGGGCGGGAAAGGTAGGAGCTCGGAAGGGAGGAAAAGCGGCTGGTTCACGGAAGGAAGAAGCTGTAGGGCCTGCACGGTCGACTCGCGACGCCGGGAGGAAAAGCGAAGAGATCAAGGGAGGGTCAGCCTATTTATACCGCCGCCAATCGCCCGTTTGATATCTTTCGCACGCGTCGACGCGATCGCCTTGCGGCTTCGAATTCTTGATCAGGCACCCGCCGCGTGCGCACGCGCATGTTCTTTTCTCTCAAACGCTTCGGCGCTTGAGGCTTTGGGAAGCGGGGGAGGAAGGACTTCGAGGTTTCGAGGGAGTGAACGTGGTACTGTGTGTTCTGACACGCGGGGATGTTGCTGCGGTGCACATTGGGCGCTTCGCCAAGGCTTGTTAGGCTTCCGTCGTCCACAGCACCTTTGCGCGGCCTCATTGTGCTAAGAATATATGGGTTTTGTTCTCGATGAAGGATGCGCATTTCCCGCGCCGGGCACGTGAGAGCAACACACGAGTCTCGCGGAACCGCAACGCTAAGAACCAGGATGATCGTCGTGGAGGCTGCATCTGATTCAACGGGAATACATTCATTGAACATTCATCGATGCATCTCCTGCGCTCGGGTTCTCGAGATCCATCAACAACGGCGGGATTGGAGGAGGTTCAACTTGTGCGGTCGAGTGAACTTGGCGTGTCGAAATCCAGTGTCTCTAATTGGAGATCTCGGTCCTTGGCATATGCTCAGGTAATGGCTAGGCAAGATATCGTGGCGCATCGTGTTTGGGTCGTCGCGTCGGCGGCTAGCCAAACTGATAAAGTACGTTGTTGTAAGGAGGAGTTGACCGTCTCCATCACAGCTTGATGCACTCGAAGTAAATTGCTAATTGATTGGGCCACAAACTCTTGTTTCTATACCATGACTCCTCAACATACTCTTCTTTCTTCTGCTTCCAGGCTCGGATTGAAGTTCGGAGCCTACAAGAAGCCCTCACATCCCAAAAAGGAGTTCACGTTGCCTTATTCAGCGAATTTCCAATCTCCACTTCCTCATGCAATGCACGTGCAACTCATGCTTATGTAAGGTTCTGACTCCGACACCCGAAACTTCATTCTCGCATCTACCATCAGCGCCTGCAGTGTCACTTCACGATGGGTCAAAACTTTTCCTTCGCAAGTTGGCTTAGCACCCACCATCCTTCCCATTCACCGAATATGGACTCTCTCGACTCTCCTCCATCCCATGATCCGTCACCAAAGCCTGACTCTGTCTCTCGAGGCAGCGATGGGGTTTCGACCCCATCCTCTCACCAGCCTCTCAGTGCATTTCTCTCGCCACTCATCCGAACCCCTTTGGGTGCTAGGGTCGTCAGGCTTTTCACCTCCGCAGTCGGTCTCCTCTATCCACCACATCTTCAACAGGCCGAACTTCTCCCAACCTCTTCAGAGGTCCATTCAAATCCATCAGCAGCGGCAGAGCTTCCCAACGAAATATGGCTTCACTGTTTCTTGTTCATGACTCTCAAGGCCCTCATCGCATCACGGGGCGTCTGCAAAACTTGGCGTCAACTCGTCCCGCTTGCCGATCTCGACCCCATCCGCCGTCGGCTCCTCGATCTCTACGACACCGTCATAAATTCGCCCCACTTCTACGAGTCCCGCCCCTGGACCGTAGCCCACCTGGAGCCCTTCGACCGCGAGGCATATATCGCCGCCCTCGAGTCGCAGTACCCCGCCATCCCACCCGAATATCGGTTATTTATCCTCGAATGGCCTGAACGCGCTGCCATCCGCTCCATCTGGCCAGGGCTACCCCTCCTGAACTGCAAGACGAACAACGTCCAGCGCGCGCGGGGGACCAACTTCATCGCACGGCAGCCTCCCCAGCTCTCCGCTCTCGTCTTCAAGGACGGCTACCCCGGCGTCGAGTTCGTGCCTGCACTCCTCGTCTGGCGGCGCTGGGACAGCACTACGTGGCTTGTGTTCGACGAGCGCCACCCCGAGCTTTTTGGCCGGGTGTTCGTGCTCCTATACCCTTCCGACACAGACATTATTCCGTATTGGGACTACGGCGAGGAGGATAGGGTTGACTATGGCGTGTTAGAGCCTGGGGGAGCATATGGGGATTTTCTCGTCCGGGAGGACTGGCTGGCGTTTCTCAGATGGAAATGGGAGGATTCTGGAGGCGCCCACCGCACATTGCCGCCGTTCAGTGTCGCGGAGCCGTATGATGACGTTGCTGTTGAGCTGCGAGATGATCTTTTCATGGATAGGAGCCAGTATGGGGTTTATCAAGACGTCCCTGCTCCACCTTGGGTCAGACGAGAAGAGCCACGATTTTTGCGGTGTTTGAGAAAGGATTAACTGTGTGTGGGTCCGTTCGCTACCGTGACGGGAAGCATAATGAAAACCTATAATACCAATTAAACACTTGTAAAATACGCAAGGCGTAACGCAGTTACAATGGAGGTATTGCTAAATCCGGCAGGAAAACAGCACAATCTCCAAACAACCCTACAACACATCTGAGAGCCACGGATGTTGGAGGAGCTCGTGTGCTGTGGGCCGTTCTTGTGGATCGACTTTAAGTATCGTCATTTGAAACTCGATTGCCTCTGGTGAGGGACGCCGTTCTCCCGGTAGGCTCTCAAAAAATGCCTGGAGGCTGAGGTGTTGGTCATGAGCTGCGAATTCCGAGTGAAGCGTCCCTAAATGCAGTGATTGCAGCTGTGCTCCCAGAAATGACCGTCAAATCTTTGACTCACCGTCGTGCGGCAAGCTTGCACTTTCCGACTTGCTTCAATCACTGTTGCGGGGAATCGCCCGAAATTTTGATACATGTATAAGGGAAAGGCAATTTCCGCTGCATCTGTAGCAAAGAGCGTTGAGCCCGTTAAGAGCTGGAAGAGCTGCGAGAAAAAAAATTAACAATTATATATTAACCAGTCATATGACATACCGTCATACCGACGCTCCAAATGTCTGTCGAAGCGTTCCAGGGAGCACCAATGAATGCCTCCGGTGACCTAGTCAGAGGCGGGGAGATAGGCTGAGTGCCGTACTCCTCAAAAACGCTTTTCTTTCCCATGAATGCTAGTCATCTAGGTTAATAACAGGATGAAAAAGAGCACAGTATATACACACCACTTCCGAAATCAACCAACTTGAAATGGAGCATTTTCCAGCCCTCGATATCCAAAGCATCATCCTCCAAGGTACTAAACCCACCTGCCTGAGTAATAATTACGGTACTCCCATCCTCAACTTGGACTTCGTGTGCATCCATGCATCTTATCATTGGATCTGAAGCTGTGAGCTTATAGTCAAACGACGACAGTACGTTGGAGAGTTTCACATCTGCACGACAACGTCACGGCGAACTCGAGAAAAGAGAATGTTCCAGAGGATACCTGTGTGGATGATTTGACATTGGTTATGACAATAGTCTAGTGCACTTAGGAGGTCGCGCATGACACGTTTGACGACAATCTCTGGCATATGGGCCTCAATCGACTGGAATTTGAGCGGAAGCTCAAATAAATTCAATCCCAGAACGTCCGTTGCGATGCAAAGGTGCTTCCCATAGCGGCTTTCGGTCCAGAATGCGTCATGAATGGTGGGAACGCAAGCATAGCCGGGGTGGTTGTGATCGCCACTGGACAAACGTTTGAGTGAAGCAAGTTCCACCATAGCAGAATCTCCAGCAGCATGACCTCGATAGAGAATCAATATTCAATTATATTGAAAAGCGGCAATAGAAAGCGGGATCCACCTGCCAGTATTTTCAAAGCGACGCAGATGCCCTCGCTGTTGACGTAGATTAACCTTTGCCAGAGGCAAGAAATTAAAAGGAGGACCTTGTACTATTGTCTCTAGCCAGCCACATCGTCGACGAGACACCGTGGCCAATCTTTGAAAGGATTTCGTAGCGCCCGGAGTGCAGATGTTCGCCGAGAGTTGTTGGACGGTATCCACCAGGCCTGTAGCAATCTGGAGATTCCTCCTGCAGAAGCCACGTAGGTACGACAGGCATTTTGGTAAGGCGGTATTGGTTTGCAGCGTAAGTAGGGAGAAGACGAGGTTGTATACAGGCACTTAGACTGTTCGAGTAGTTGCGAGGCACAGAACGAACGAGTCGGCAGAAAGATACACGGGGCATGTGCATGAGGGGCATGCTTAAAGCGAGGAGTCTGCGAGGATGGTCCATGGAAGGTCTGCAAGGGACGCGGAACAGAAAGACAAGGATATGGAAGTTTGTAGGTCTCAGGAATTGAACCGATGACTTAGAGCATTGACTTTGTGGGATTTCACACGATAAAGCAGCTATCAGCGCGATTGAACCACTAGGCCAAAAGGTGTACACCTAGTTTTTCACTCTTTGTCTTTTGTCACTCCCAATTCGACAACCGAGGATTCCATGACATATATTATAGCTAGCGTCATTTGGACCCCGATCCAACTGGTGTTGAGGGGGGTTATCGTCTCACAACGGGGAGGGACTTGCTTCCTTCCCACGCCGTGACAGGGACAGCTGGTCGCGCTGATCGCCAGTCTGCCGACGTACTGCCGCTTTACGGACTTATCGTGACCTAGACTGTGCGTAGCCATCACCCACCTTTGGACTCAGTCGGCAGTCTCCGAAGATCGTACCGAAAGCAGTACACAAAGTTCGATGTACATCCCCTGTCTCACGAGTCACGAGTCACGACAAGCGCCCCCCAAATTGCACACGTCGGGACGGGTGCGTTCGCTACAGCTACAGTATCCTCTACTAGCTGTCCAGATACTTGGAGGTGGACATGTACATGCTGGGTGCAAGACTTCTGGAATCCGAGCTCTGTGCTACCTTCAGCATGGGGCAGTCCTGTTGTTGCGAGCATCCACCAGTAGTACCGTGCGACACGGATAACTCCTCAGGCCTTGCAGCCAGCCAACTTCGACTCCTCCATTCCACCAGCCTTGACGAACCCGACTCACGTATATCGGGTTTGGGGCCGCCAGCGAGAGAGCTGCCAAACGAAATCTGGTGCCATTGTTTCTCTTTCATGACCCTCAAGACGCTCATAGCATCGCGAGGTGTCTGCACAACCTGGCGCCATCTCGTACCCCTCGCCGGCCCGGCGACCTCAACGCTATCCGCCGTCGGCTCCTGGCACTCTACGACACTGTGATCAACTCGCCTGATTTCTACGCGTCCCGACCCTGGACCATCGTCCACCTAGAGCCCTTCGATCGTGAGGCGTATATCGCCGCCCTCGAGTCCCAGCACCCCGCCATCCCATCCGAATTTCGGTTATTTATCCTCGAATGGCCTGAACGCGCTGCCATCCGCTCCATCTGGCCTGGTCTACCCCTCCTGAATTGCAAGACTAACAACATCCAGCGTGCACGCGGGACCAATTTCATCGCACGCCGGCCTCCCCTGCTCTCCGGCCTCCTCTTCAAGGACGGCTACCCCGGCGTCGAGTTCGTCCCCGCATTGCTCTTCTGGACACACGATCGCTCCCGCACGACGTGGTTGCTATGCGACGAGCGCCCGGATCTCTTCCTCTTCGGCCGCGTGTTCACGCTTTACTACCCCATCGAGGCCGACGTTATCCCGTACCACGACTACGGCGATGGAGACGAGACCAACTACCAGGTGCTGGAGAGTGCGCTGGCTTATGGGGATTTTGCGGTCGAGGACTGGATTGCGTATCTGGAAAAGGAATGGAGGCGCCCTAGTGGCGTGCACCCCATCCTCGCCCCGCCATTCCATGTTGTGCAGCCGCATGATGATGTTGCTGTTGACCTGGAAAACGAGATTTTCGTGGATACAGCTGAATGTAGGTAGATCAATTGTTCCCGTCTCTTTATTCCTCAGTATGACGATTTCACAACCTAGAAGAGGGTATGGAACCTAGATGACGCAGGCAAGGGTAACAACGCGAAGGCCGGGTATCATTTATCGAGGAAAAACTCGACCTTCGAATTGAAGGCAAGATGACGGATGCCCCTCCAGAATTGGTAGCTTCAAGATCAATGCAGCGCCGGGCCTGCGTAAGGTCCACCTACTCCTAGCTCGTGCAGCCGGACAAGAGGCTGACACAGCCATACCACCTACGCAAGATGTGGAGGCGCCAGAGGAGTTTGTGCATTGGTAGGAGCGGAAGGGATGAGGTTGGGGCGGGCAATATGGCCGACACTGTTCCGAAGGTAGTAGATGTCCATCTCAATCGTAACCCATCGACGCATACGAGAGAAGTGGCAACACACTCTATATTCCTCTAAATTATTCGTTATCACTAAAAATATTTGTCAAGGTTCATTAACAAGCAATCCTATGACTCCGCGTTCGGAGTCTCCTTCCCTAGCACAGCGGGCGTCTCTGTAGACGAGAGGTGCGGTTCCGACGGTTCTGAAGCCGCCGTGGCAAGTGTCGGTTCCGGTAAAGTGTTGACTGAGGAGGGACGTAGGTGAGGAGATAGCTGTATGCGCGGTAGCTGCAGTGGTGTATCTTGGAATTCCGCCCACCCGCCCCGCAGGCCAATTTCAACGACGCGTTCGAGGATCCGCGAGAGCTCGTCGTTCCTGAACAAAACAAAAAACATCAGCAAACCCCAGCCCGAAAGCCATATCATTAGCCTAGACGTACCTCTGCCTCTCCGCGCCCCTCTCTTCCTCCCACACCTTCACAAGGTCGTCCACCCGCGTGTTCAGAGCTGCTATTCGCTCGCCGAGGTCCTCCAAGGAGTCATCGACGCTGTCCCGCCGTTTGGACTGATTCCGCGAGCTGCGCCATGTTTCTCCGATGATAAGGCTCGCGGCGACGCTAAATAGGAAGCCTTCAGCGAGGAAGTTGGCGCCGTTCTCAATTGCCCTGAACGTCCCGGTCAAACATGCAAAATGCGAACATTGGGGTAAGTCCTACTTGGCTTCAGACAATGGCCGGATATGCCTCGCAGGCTCTCCGAGGATGTTCGTGCGCAGCTTCACCTCGGAGCGATACATGAACTGCGCGAGGTCGACGCATATCGTTCGGAAGCGTTCGTGTCTGTCGATGGGACGGGACTCTCAGTTGCATATCCCTTGCGAGACGGTCGTGAACGGGTACGCACTGTCGCGCCTGCTCCTTCAGCCGACCTGATATTGGTTTTGCGATGGTCTACAATATGGCCTGCAGTCAGTTAGATACTCCTCATGTACGAAATTGCGGGGATACACTCACTCTGATGATCAGTGTGGCGAGCTTCGTGCTGGCCATGAGTACGACGAGCTAGTGAGGGAGTCGCGTTGAGGAAAGGAGGTTGATCGAGAGACAATGTCGTAACGAACGGTGTGGGGTTGGTGGGGAACGAACGGCGGAACGAGAGAGACCTTGGCACGACAGCGGAAGACTGAGACGCGCCGAAGAGCGTCGTCACTTTCCGGAGGCGTTGTTTGGCTTCTGCCTGGATTTCCAACTTTCAGCCGGTCCGGTCGGTGATGCCATACTTTACTTACCCGGCTTTCACTTCCACTACCACTACGAGTTGCCCGCAACCACTGTAGCTAGTCTGGTCCCCATCGAATGCCGCGTTCCTCTATTACTTCGAGCTAGCGTCAACGACTTCCATCTGGTCCGTTTAATGCCTCAACTAGGGACTTCTAGAACGCCGCAGTCGATAGGCCAACCTTTGTGATAATTCATCGCGTAGTCTTTCAGCAGCCTTGGATAGCTTCAACCCGACGAAGTGCGTGCTACGAGGTACTACTCTCATCTTCAATGAAGTAGTATCTTAATATTTTTGGACCCTGGGGGCGTATTTTATATTCGTCCTATTTTTAGGCTCATTCCTCCTGGGCGCCGAGATTGACGGGTATGTCACTTGGTTTACTATAGGCACTCTTCTGGTCTGCCCGAAGATTGCGTTCTTGATCACGGCTGCCGCGGCCGCCTACGACTACGGTACAAATCCGCGGTACGTTCGTTCGTCGCGTTCTTGGTGTCGATGTCCACCACATGTGCAGAAGGAAAATTTGTGTGTACTTAACACTTTCCTGAGGATGTGGGACCCGGAGGCTACGACATGGGCTGTGTCTCTGTTCCCCGCACTCCCAAACCGCATGTTCGTGCCATTTTTCAGGTCTTCTAAATGAACTCTGATCGATGTGGAAGAGGATATAAAACCCAACTTGAACGATGCCAGTTCGCCCCAGATCGACAATGTTTTTCGAACGCTTCAAACCTCTCCTTCTCTCGGCGTTTCTCGCCTCGCAAATTTTAGCAGAATCTACTCCGCTTTCCACTACGTTGGTCAACCTGTCCTATGGGTCCTTCGAAGGACAGGAATCAGGGAACCTCGTCGAATTCCTAGGCCTTCCGTATGCTGCTCCTCCGTGTGTCTTCCTGACTACAGGATTATTATTTTTTTCCTTCCTCATGTGTTGATCAACCTTCCTTTCTCCAGGGTCGGGAAGCTTAGATTCGAGCCGCCTACTGACCCGATAGTATTTGAGGGTATCCGACAACTACTGCATTCGCCCCCGCTTGTCCTCAGCAAGAGGCAGAGTTCACGGAGGGCCTGCCTATCCCTCGTGCTGCTAACATCTCCGAGGACTGTACGTTCTATATTCCAGAGATGTATTTCCACCCGCTTTGGCTGACGGAGAGTCAGGCCTCTATCTCAATGTTATCAAGCCAGCCAACATACCGGAAGGTGAAAAACTGCCTGTCCTCGTCGTGAGTCCTCGCCTTGAGACTTTAGACGCTACCCGTCGAGCTCAACATTTGCCTTCGTTTTCAGTATATCCACGGAAGTAAGTGCGTTTGGCCGTAATACCGCCCTGGCTGACAATGCGCGCTAATTTAGGCGGATTTATTCTGGGTCATACCGGGCAGGCTCGTGGAGATACTCTCGTGAGGCGGTCCATCGAGTTGGGAGTGCCAGTGATCCTCGTTACAACTGCCTATCGCCTCAACGGTGAGAATCCTCCCTTTTCCTGTCCACGGTCGTACGCCGACTGACTTCCACTATAGCATTCGGCTTCCTGGGCGGCAAAGAAGTAAAAGCTGCGGGACTCGGGAACATAGGCCTACGAGATCGCAAGTTTTCAGAGCAGCTTCGCGATATATATACCTAACTGGCCCTTAGAACGATTCGCGCTCCAGTGGATTCAGAAACACATCGCGCAATTCGGAGGCAATCCCGAAAATGTCAAGATGTAAGAGCTCCCTCGGTTAAAGCGGCTTACCCCTCACTCATCGGATGCTGTTAGCTGGGGTGTTAGTGCTGGAGCTATCTCTGTGGCCATGCACATGCTACTAGACGACGGAAACGAGAATGGTTCATTCCACGGGGGCGTCATGGTGAGATTTGCTATTTTTCCTTCACTTCTGCCCTCTAGCTCAAGCAGACTTCTCTAGGAAGCAGGATCTCCTCTCGTCCTGCCTGATATCGTCAACCAGCAAAGGCACTTCGACGCCCTCGTTGCCCACACCAACTGCACCGACGCACCAGATCGGTTGGAGTGTCTCAGGGACGCGCCATATGAAGCCCTCGTTGAGGGCGTGAAAAATTCCTCCACCATCCCATCTTATGAAGGCCTAAAGCTGACCTGGCAGCCCATGGTGGATGGGAACCTCATCGTCCGCGATCCTCAATTGTCTGTCAAAATGGGCAAGTTTTCAAATGTACGTCGCAATTGGGTAGTAGGACGTTTGCGCTTTGCTGACCCGCTTTTAAAATAGATTCCAATAATTACAGGGTGCACAGAGGACGAAGGAACGTAAGTCATCCTGTGCCTTCACATATTGTTCATCGATGACATTCGCTTTGCTAGGCTCTTCTCCTTGATTATGACAAATATAACGTGCGAAAACTCGTTCCTTACCCTCGAAATCGACGATTCACATTCCTTCACAACTAGAAACAATGCCGAATTCCTGAAGAGCAAGTCAGCGCAGCTCCTGTCATCGCTTTTAGTATAGATGGCTAAATGGCTCGCGTAGCTATTTCAACGAGATATCAGATAAAGATTTGAAGGCCCTAGAAATCGCGTACCCTGATGATGTTACCCAGGTGCTGTCATGGTCTCCACTCCCCGTTTTCTGACTCCTCGAACTGATGTCCTTTTTGCACCATAGGGTTCTCCTTTCAACACAGGGACAGCTAACGTTTTCAGGTTTGTACTTCGTTTTTGATACTCCTCCCTCGCCGAGAAGTTGAACCCTGGACGTATATCATCCAGCCCACAGTACAAGAGACTCGCTGCCTTCCAAGGAGATCTAGCGTTCCAAGCGACACGCCGCTTCTTTTCGACTATTGCATCGAAGAGACAACCCGTTTATGGCTTCAGTATGCTATTTAACACATCTTATACTTCTACATTCCTCTGATGTCGTGCAGGGTACATGCGTCGTCGTCCAGACGCTGCTCCACACCTTGGTGTCGACCATGGTAGCGACTTCCCTGAATTCATGGCCCTCGTCAGTGATACAGGGTTGATAGCAGCTGATACTCTTAGTGGGTCTCCTGTCTACTTCGCGCCTGGCGTTGACTCACCCCTTGGGCGTTCAAATAGTCTACTTCACGAACAATGGTGACCCTAACGCCCCGCAGGACTCCATCAGTCTTCTTCGGAACACCAAGTGGGATACATACGACACATCCACTGAAAATCCACCTGTTTTCACCTTTATAGACCCTCCGCCCTCCGTCAACATCACCTTCGATACCTATCGCGCTGATGCTATGAAGTTGTTGAACAAGCTTTCCCTAAAGGAGATTGGGAGGTTTGATCTTGCGTGGACATTTGGTGCACGATATGCCATGTAGCGACCTTGGTGTAGTCGCAATTTTTTTATCCCTTTGTATTCCTTACTCGTGGAATCCAATTTTAGTATATCTTTGGCGACCGTGGCGCACTGGCTGAAATTTTATCTTATCTTATCTTGTCGGCAAGAACTTGCCGTTTCCAAGGTTCCCACCATTGTCCATCTTCTCTTCTTACCATCCTCCAACGCGCCATAGGCAGACTTGCGTTTCTTACAATGTCTGCCAGAAAGCGGGCAGCTTCGGGCCAACCAACCAGGCTCACATCGCGTGTCAGCGAATTCAACTCGCGAGTGACGCTCTTCGAACCCACAGACTTGCCGCTGGCAGGAACAGAAGGCGGATCTCCGCGTCGTTCAAAACGCATTAAACTGGAGGTCAAATCTGAGCCCGTTGGCGACATGGAGGATCTTAAGCTCGCCTCGGATTCCGTGACCCCGAAGAGGAAGCGGAGAGTCATCAAAGATGAGGACAGTGAGAATGCTGTCGCGTCGAGCTCCAAAACGCCAGCGAAGTCTCCGAAGAAGCCTAAATCTGTACCCCAAGCGTTGGAGAAGCCACACCCAGCACCATCGAACTGGAGGGAGACGTATGACACGATCAAGGCGATGCGGACGCGTTTTGTTGCGCCAGTCGACACGATGGGTTGTGACCAGGCTCAGTGGAAGGAGTCGGATCCTAAGGTGTGTCAGCATGTTTATTCATTCGGCATTTGATGCTGAATTCTCGTCAGAGTCGCAGATACGCGACTCTCGTCTCATTAATGCTTTCCTCGCAGACTAAGGATGAAGTGACGGATGCTGCGGTGTCGAAGCTGCGAGCAGCACTGGGTGGCAGCCTTTCGGTCGAGGCCATGATAGCGGCGGATGATTCTGTGATATCTGAAGCTATCGCGAAAGTCGGCTTCTGGCGGCGGAAGACAGGGTATGTTGGCCCATTCTTTTCTTGTCAAGCTTGCCCCATGTTCTTTTAGATACCTCAAGCAAGCTGCTATCATCCTCCGAGACCAATTTCACTCGGACGTACCTAAGACGGCGGACGAGCTATGCTCACTACCAGGAGTGGGTCCCAAGATGGCTTTTCTGTGTCTACAGATTGCATGGGATCTGTACGTTCCTCTACCATTTTACACGTGTCATAGGCTGAATCTCTCCAAGGAATCATGGAATTGGCGTCGATGTGCACGTTCATCGAATAACAAACCTTTTGGGCTGGCACAAGCCACCCACAAAGAACCCAGAACAGACACGGTGTGCCTTATTCTAAAACCATGCCCTAGCACCTACGGCGACCTGACGGTGTCCGTATATCAGACTCAACTTGCAGTCATGGCTACCGAAAGAGCTTCATGGTGACATCAACCACATGCTCGTTGGTTTTGGACAGGTTGCCGCATTCTTCTTTCTATTGCTGTTTTTGCTAACGAGACAACTAGGTTATTTGCCTACCTATTGGTCCAAGATGCGACGTCTGCGACCTCAGCAAGAAAGGTCTCTGTCCTAGTGCACAGAAGGTCGTCAAGGCGTCCAAATCCCGGAAGGAAATTGTGTTTACTAAAGTCGAGGATCTGGAGGGTTCCTTCCCGGAAGTGGAGATCGCATTGGAAGAGGAGTTAGAAGAAACGACGGTCAACATCCCTCCGTCGCCGTAAAGTCTGTCAGTATTGCTTTCTGTTTGTTTTGCTGCCGTGCCTGTGCCATATCTGTATCCATAGCCTAATGCTCTCCTCCCTCCGAGCTCGAAATACATAGGACGCCCTTGCTCAGGCTGATCATGATTAATCCACACCTGATCGACTCATGCCATGCTCCAGATAGTCCTGAGACCCAGTCTCCTTACCCCCTTTTGCCATCATCATCTGTGCAAGCCATCTTCTCTGCCAGCGTCAATTCTTCACTATGAGCACACTCTCCGATCCCATGTTCAGGAACTTGTCATGGCTGCAGTGGCAGGGGCGCAGGCGAGCCAACCAGCTATAGTTACTTGTAAGCAGGGCGACTACGCCGATGCCCAGCAGCTCTACCCCGAAGCCCTTCGCACCCAAGAACGAGACGCCCTTGATTCAATGGCGCTCGCATGCTCTCACTGCCGTCTCGGACGATCATATCTGGGCATGGCGGGCAGGCTGGACAACACGCACAGCTACCTGGATGTGGCTTATGGGATCTATCAAGCGCACACGCCGCGCGAAGAGATTTATGGAGTTCCTCGCTAGGATGTATGAAGGGCGTGGAGATGCGTGGAGATTTTGAGAGAGCCAGCGAGATACGCCTCAATGGCAAGCCGGACAGTATATTCTGCTCAAGTGATACGGTTTGTCTTCGATGCGTCCTCCTAGGTTAGACTGACTGACTTTTCCGGATAGTGTCCTCGCCGGCGCCGTAACATCCTCTTCAGAGCGGACCACCTCCGCCGATGCTCGCAGTGCAAGGCGAGATGACGATCTTCAGTGTTGAATTTGCTGACTATGGTCACAGTGCACATACTGCTGCAGTGAAGGGTGTCAGAACGACTAGAAGGCGCGCCACAAACGATTCTTTCGCCCGGTTGCCGACGTCTCGTGGTTTTCCGAGTGCGTCATATTATTAATTTATGCTACAGACGTCTTGCAGACATGTATTTCTAACCAAAATCCTCCTATCGTCAATGCAGTCCATATGGCCATGTCTATAGCTTGATAGGTATCGTGAATGAAAAAGAATTAACGAATTCAAATTCGAAAGGTAAATGCCATTTATTAGACGTTTTCCAGCTCGGATGGTTCACAACCGTGGTCTCGGTCTGAACAAACTCGTTGGAGATGTATGGATTCAGCACTCCGCATGGAGGATTGGCGATGCAGACTCGAGCCCTATCGAATGCATGAGGCCTAGAACCAGGAGCTGCAGTTTGACCTACATCGCCGCGAGCAAAGTTGATCGGTATGTCGTCGAAGCGTCCGCTTGAAGGGGTAGTAGGTCCCGCTGACGCCATCAGCGCCAATCTAACATCGTTTGAAAAGCACGACGTACCTGTAGATTCGCTCCTCAACGGCGAGCCTACGCTAATGTGTGGCTCTATGACGATACATCTGCTCGTCTCAACGTGAGTCTCAACCTCTTCGCAAAGGCCTTCACGAGAGTTTAGAGTAAATAGCATCGTCAACGAGTAAACTCGGGCGACGACAAATGCTATCCCGTTTGAAACTGATATCAAACGTCGGCTACGTTAGTCTGTAGTCCAGAGGAGAACTGCCTTCGAGTGCACTCACGGGATGAGGTGGGGTCAATGGCGAAGGTTATGAACGTGGCCAGAACAAGTGGCGAGACCACTCCTGATCGCTAAACTAGACAATCTTCGGATGATACTGGAAAGCTGTGTCAGCGAAAGTGTATCGAACATATGATGGAGGGTGTAAACCTTTTGGTACTGTCGCTATAGGCTTTATGGAGACGAAGGTGCCAGATAAGAGAAATCGTGATGAGCGCGTCTGCGACGAGCGCTCCGACCAAAGCGACCCTAGGGACAAAAAGGTGAACTCCGTCAGAGGAGAGACAGGTATTGCACGTATCATACTAACGTTATATAGGATAATTTTCTGACTCGCTGGCTCCTCGACAATCCGGTCAGAGAACTGACCGTCGCAACAATGCTACAGCTAAACTGGTTTTATGCAACGTGAGTAAATGCATGACATAGGAAGGGGTAAAGCTCTGGCCCACCGATGCGAGCATGAAAAGAGATATAATTATAGTCACGACATAATTGCGAGATCTGCAATGATCGTCAGCGGGTTTGCATGACTGATCCATGAGGTAGCTCCGGCGTACAGTTTGAAATACCGCGCCACCATGAATCCTTGAACGGCAAGGGCGACGACTTGGCTGCATACAAACCACAGAGCGTTAGTCCAATGTAACCGTCCCTGTTCCCTCGGATCGCCTGCGTTGAGTGACTTGACGTGAGGAAAGTCTGAGTCCTGGTGGTAGGAATTGAGACACTTGCCCCAGTGTATAACAGCTTCCTGATGGATAGTTATTGATTGGTACTAAATACTAAGCAGGAAACGAGACATACTGTGAATGCCGTAGCACAAGCTGCAAATGTCCCGACGGTATCGAGAAAGACACACGAGAAAACTGTGGCTTTGAGGGTCTTTCTGTCGCGGCACGAGCGTTCACAACGCAGATAGGTATGAAACGCGAGGAGCTCCAGAGTGTAGAGTATGAGATTGGCATAAGAGTCGATGAGAACTGTCCTAAGTTGACACAGTCATATGTCAATACTTAGCCGACAATGAAACGAAGGAAGGAATTCACTCGGTGTTGAACTTGATTGTCCCTATGTCTGCCATCTGCGGCCCTCACGGGTATGACGTAGAGGGTGATGGTCGAAAGGCAGCATAGAGTTAAACACCTCATGAAATTCCACGCGCTAAATATGATCAACGCATCGATATCCATGCGCATGTCAGACAACCAATGAGTGAAGCGGATTGATTTCACTCATTGGAGAGAGAGAAAAAGAGAGAGGACCACTGCCAGCCAACGGTGGTGGTTCTGGACAAAAATAGGACTCCACACGATAGCGGATATTTTGGGCCTCCCATTCACTATGAGACATTATGAGGTAGGTGATCGACGTGTACGGCAACGGGATCTTTTCAGAGATACATAGATATTCTTTTCAGGTCCTCTACATAGTCTTTTGAACAAGGAATCTGGTGTATCCCAATCAAAGACGTTTATATGGATATTATTATGTGACTTCTTTCCGCTCCTCCGTCCTATCGCGTGCAATCCATTTTTGGTACATTCCTGAGGAGAGTGGCGCAGTCGATCTAATCTTATCTTCCAAAGTCGGCAATCCATTTACCGGTGTCAAGCCGTGTGAAGTTCCCACCTTGCTGCTCGAAGCACGCCATTCTCGGGCCAACTTACATCTGCTCACCTTCTACGATGTTCACAAGTAAAGCAAGCAACAGTGACGCAACCAAGCAAGCTCACCTCGCGTGGCAGCGTGATTAACGAATTACACTCGTCGAACCTGCACCTACCAAGGTTGTCAAAGGTGCAGAGGATGGATCTCCAATGACACGTCGTTCAAAACGCGTCGAGCGGAAACTCAGAGACATCCGCGAAGCCTCCGAAGAAGCCCAAAACGACGTCTCAGACGCTAGGCCGCATCCATTGAATTGGAGGGAGACCTATGACGATCAAGGCGATGTGATCTGGTTTCGAAGGTGGAGTTGACAGGCTTTTTGCGTGCACACATTTATGCTAAGCTTGCGTCGGGAGTCGCAGATATGCACTCTTCGTATCCTTGATACCCTCTTACCAGACGAAAGAGGTGATAGCAGCAGACAATGCGATCATTTCTGAAGCTATCACGAAAGTGGGGTTTCATCGATGGAAGGTGGTGTACGTGGCCTCCACTGGTTTATTGTCAAACTTGTTAACGTTCAGCTTCTCCCAGATAGCTCCAACGAGAGGCCTGACTACCGCGTCAGGAGAGCGGGTTCGGGCATGCAGACCTGGATAAGGCTTAGGGACATATATTAGTCGCATGAGCCTCCGCGGGCATTGGCTAGTATCTCGCCAGGGTGCATTGAAGGGTGGGGTAATTTTAAGTGGGCGAGCGAGATACATACCTCAAGGGAGAGCTGGAGAGTATTTTTTGCGTAAGCGATGCTGTACGTCTTCAGTACCGTCTTCTATTCGTGTGGTCTTGACTAGATCGTTTGCAGATAGTGCACACGCTGCAACATCCCTTCCAGACCTGGCCAACTGCACTGGCGCTTTCAGTGTAAGGCAAGTTGTCAGTCTTCGGAGTCTTATGCTATTTTTGATCCCGACCGTAGTGCATATATTACTTCACTGAAGGCTGTCAGACCAGCGACTGGAAGATGCCTAGCGGTCTCTGAGCCATAAACATGTTAGTCTTGATGTTGTACAGTATATTATGCAGTCATTCTACAGATATATATTCTATGCTAAACCCTCATATAGCCGGTATAGTCCATTTCGGTCGTGGTCGATCGTACGACAAACTTCGTGAAGAGAGATGAACAAGAGAGGGAATGCCGTTCATTATACATTTTCCGGCTTGGATGATGCGCAACGGCGGCCTTCTGAACACAGTCGGTGAAGAGATACGGATCCAGCACTCCATGTAGAGGATTGGCGATGTAGACTCGAATCCTGTTGAACTTTCCGGTAAGCTCAACTCTGATCTAGGCACCACTATTTGGCTTACATCCCTCTGAGCAAAGGTAATTGGGACGTCCTTGAAGCGCCCGCTTAAAGGGGTTGCAGGCCCAGCTAAGGTTTCTTAGACATCAACCTCAGTCTGACGCCTGTTGAGGAGAGATGACTTCTACCTGTGGATTCGCTCCTCAACGGCGACCCCGAGCTGGTATGAGGCTCTATCACGATGCTCCCGCTGGTCTCGAAATGGGTTTCAAAGTCTTCGCAGATGCCTTCGCGGGAGTTGAGGGTGAACAGCATGGTCAACGAGTAGACTCGGGCAACGACAAATGCGATCCCGTTAGAAACTGACATGAACGCAAGACACTTTAGGCTGTAGTCGAATGAAAGAAGAAGTACACTCACGAGATGAGGAAGGATCGACGGCGAAGGTTATAAAAGTGGCTAGAACGACGACACAGGTGGCGAGTCCGCTCCTGATCGCTAAACTAGATAATCTTCGGACAATGCTGAAAAGCTGCGTCAACAGAGAGCTCGAATGTATGCAAGGCGCGAACCTTTTGGTGGTGTCACTATAGACTTTCTGGATGCGGAGGAGCCAGATGAGAGCGATCGTAATGAGGGCGTCTGTGATGAGTGCCCCTACCAAAACGACTCTATGGACCAATAGTTATGGCATGGGAAGCGAAGGAGATTGTTAAGAGAAGATACTAACGTTATAAAAGACAATTCCCTGACTCGCTGGTCCCTGGTCCGATTTTTGAGAGAACTAACCACCGCAACCTGGATGCTACACGCAAACTAGTTCCACGAAAGCATCAGAGAATGAGATATATAGAAAGGGTCCGGCTTACCGATGCGAGCATAAAAAGAAATATAATTATCGTTACAATATAATTATGAGATCTGGAAATTTCATTAGATAGGTCTTGCATTTTCCCCTCCTACGTACAGTTTGAAGTATCGCGTTACCATGAATCCCTGGACGACAAGGGCGACTACCTGGTTCGAAACAAACCATAGCGCGTTGGTCCAATGCAGCTGCCCCAGGTCGCTTGGATCGCCTGTGGTGGAAGGATTGGGTGTAAGGGAAATCTTACGGTGGACATTAATTGAAAGACTGAGACACTTGCCCCAGTACACGACGGCGTCCTATATTTCTCCACTGGTAAATAGTCGAGAAGGAAATGAAACATAAGGGGACATACTGTGAATACTACAGCACAAGCTGCAAATGTCCCGATAGTATCGATAAATACACAAGAGAAAACTATAACTTTGAGGGATTTTCTGTCGCTGCACGAGCGTTCACAGCGGAGATAGGTACGGAAAGCGAAGAGCTCCAGCGTGTAGAGTACGAGATTAACGTAAGAGCCGATGAGAATAGCCCTAAGTTGACAAGTTCATTAAGCTTTGGATGTCGAGAAATTGAACCAAAGAACACACCCTGTGTTGAACTTGACTGTCCCTATATCTGACATCTGCGAACTTCAACAGTATGACATGGACGGGACGGCTGGAAAGTGGCATAGGGTTATATGCCTCATGAGATGAAGCAGATCTCATTGGAGGAAGAGAATGAGAGAGGATCACTGCCGGCCAATGGTGGTCCAGGACGAAAATAGAAATACAATAGCGGAAGTATCCAATCGACCTTTGGGCCTCCCATTCACTATGAGACATCTTGAAGCCGACAATCGTTACCTACGTCAACGGAATCTTTTTTGAAATAACGTGCCATTTTCTATTCCCTTAAATTCAACCTTAAATTCAATGGTAGTGGTTGGTCTGGCAATGAAATGCACATTTCTGGATGTGCTACTCGTACCGTCCTACCGAATAGTCATTAATAACAACAGCCAAAAGTATTATCCTGCAAGCTGAATCACCCACAGGAGCACATCGAATTCAGCTTTGAAATGTTCCGGGACAGCTGATTAGTCTCAGTGACGAGGCCCACAGGATAATTCAATGCATGGTTGACAACGTTGGCCAGTCTCTGTCAACTGCGGAAGTAGGGCTCGGACCGCCAAAAAGGACGGTTCGTCACGGTGTGACGCGGACGCCCCAAACGAGCGAGCCGCGTTGCCGACCCGTGGGGCTCAGCCCACGGCGGGCACGAGGTGGGCGCGAGACGGGCTGGTTCCCCGCTTAGCGTCCCATCACTCAAACCAAGGCCGCGTGGGCCTGATGTGGTGCACGAGCGCTGAGCGTGCGCGTCGCCGAGGGGAAATGAGGAAAGGAAGGGGAGAAGAATAAGGAAGGAATAGAATGTAAATAACTTACCTAAATTTTGATACCATATTGACAATGAAGGGGTGCATTGTGCTGTTCTTGAAATGGGGTGTGTTGGTGGGAGAGGAAGAGAGGAAAGCTAGGATGACTTGATGTGTATAGATATTGTGTCCTTGACACGCACGCGTTGCGTGCGCGTTGTAATTTACGTACGTTGATCCGAACTGGGAGCCTGAGCCAACGAGGTGAGCTGCCATGCCAGTGTGACACTTGCAGGGAAGCCGCTCGAAAAACCGTCTTTGATGAACTGGCCATCAATTTCCGAAGCCGTCATGGGCCACAAAAAGGACGGTTGGTCAAAAAAAGGACAGTCGAGGCACGTCTTTTCATCAAATTTTAACTATATCTGGACTGACAACCAACGGTTCATCAAATAAAAGACGGTCTCCAACCATCAAAAGACAGTTTCATTAGTCGGATCGTGCATTTATGTATTTACAGAGCGTTCTAAATAAAGCTATTGTGTATGTAATTCTAGGCCTCAAGCCCCCTCGGCTGCAGCACGAGCCGCTGTGCGTCGGGCCTTGCTGATGGCAATGCGCTCCTCCTTTGTCTTGTAGGAGTACATGCAAATAATGTTGCTTGCCTAATATTTATGCCACGGGTGTGATTAGCCTGAGTACCACATATGAAGACTGGGTATTGACGTACCCAACGGAGGACCGCCTCATGGTCTTCTTGGCTTCCTGGTGCGTGTGTTGGCAGCGGCGGTGGGGTGCACGCTGCACGGACAGGAGGGGCTGGGGCTGGGGCGGGTCCCACTTTTTTTGCAGCGCCCTGACGGAAGGCAGGACCGTGCCGAGCGCCGAGCGCGTAGCCGCACAGGAACGCGACGACGAGCACGAGCGCGTAGGCGCCCGTGGCAGTGGAGACGCCCATGATAGGGGCCGATCATCCCAACAGGGACGTGTGCCAGCCGTTGTTGTGCAGGCCGTCGATGGCCCGTGAGACAGCCGGAGGGACTGCCGACCTAGGGAAAAAAAGAAGGGCATGTCACTGTGTCAGCCATCCCAGAGCGATAGACGGCGCGGGAGACGAAGGGCCCCGAGACAAACACGCGCAACGCGGGGTGACAGAGGGGAAGACAGTACCCCGGCCCGGAGACGCCGGTGGCTGTGCCGAACCGTCCACGAGCCGTGACGGACCAGATCACGTGTGTGATCGGACCGTCGTTCTGCCGAGAGAAGTAAATCGGACAACCCTGACTTATCGTTGAGATTCAGAATAACTAGTGGGATTTAAAACGGTGGAAGCTAGGATTATGCTAGGAGGGAGTGAGGAAAGGGTTCAAATTTAAATTCCAATCAATGGCGTATCAAAATTTGGCGACCGGCATTCGCCGTGATGGGACAAGCGCCTCGTTGGAGAACTCATCAGGCTGTCGAAGCTCATATATGCTATCAAGTCAGTTAGATGTGAAATCAAGAATTTCGTACTGATTGACTAGAAAATTGCAGTTTTTTGACAGGCTTCAAGCTTCAAAGTGCCTCCGGAGCTCAGAAATCCGATATCTTCGGGATGACGTTGGTGGTGAATCGTATCTAGTCTACTTGTTCATGCCTGAGAGATCTTGTCGCGCCGGAGTTACTAATCAAAGGGACACGCTATGGACTAAGATTCATAGCCATGTCCCAAAAGCCTTTCTCGAGTCTCGTACATTTCTCCCAGACCCCGATCCACTCCTTCAGCTTCGCTGCCGACGGTTGGTCTGCTTGGGCGATCGCTTCTACGGTTTCTACAAGAATTACAAGGTGAATTGGAAACGCGGTTCTTTGCATCGAAATCCATCGGCGACGTACCGAGACCGAGCTGGACGGCGTTTTGATACATCTCGCCAGCATATTCGTCCATCCAATGCTTGTAAGGGTTGCCGTCAAGGACGACCCAACTGTTCTCTTTCTCGCTCTGCTTCTTCAACCAGAGGCCGACCTCACCATAGCCCAAAAGACAAGCCATCAGAGCCATTGTTAGCTTTGAGACATCGCCTGGCGTAGAAAGATACATCAGATCAAGAATTTCGACTTATTCTGAATGACGAGCAGACCTTGGATGCCGGTATCCAGAATGAAAGCCCCATAGGCTGTCGTCGCCACCGACTCGGGCGTATTCTCAAGTTCTTCCTCAGATATGTTGAACTTTTCACAGAACGTCTTATGATTTCCTATTTCGTGGAGAACATTGAGGATAGTTTGCGTTGAGGTCTCGATGATCTTAAATGACGCCGATTTGGCGGCTAAAAGTCTACATGGTTGGAAGTTAGGCTCTGTCCAAAAGCAGGAAGGGCGCAGATGAACACACGCATATGCACGGGCATAGTATTTGAGATAATGATAGTCTTGTCTGTAAACCCCATGTTAGCTGTGGGGTCCAATTCAATCGGGCGACGTGTTCTCACTTTATGAAATGAGCGAAACGGTTTCTGTCGAGAACGCCTTTACCCAGCTGAATCACAAACTCATGTTGTACGTAGCCTTTCCAACTTTGAGAGGTGCGTTGAATCAGCAGCTTGGCGAACGGATACCGATTTTCCGGCGTGCGTCTAGATGACCCCTCAGCACTGGTCATGGAGAGATCGGATAGTCACCTACAGAGGAACTAGCGACGAAGAAATGCTATGGAGATGATTCAATGGACCGTGTCCCTTGCCGATCGGAGAGGCCGTTTGGATTCCTAGATGCGTGTACATTGTCGCTATTCCGATGGCTTTTTCAACTGGTGACGTCTGAGCGTTCACTCACACATCCTCGCCAGAAAAAAAAGAGTACGAGTCCGACTTACGAGAAACTCCCTTCGCAAGCTCACATGCAATAGCAGAGCTTAGGGTACACCCAGTCCCGTGTGTGCTCGTAGACTCTATCCGTGGGTGCACGAACATCGCCTTGACGCCATCCTGTTGTACCAAGACATCCACGACCAATTGGATTGCTGACCCAGTCGTGTTCGGCGACGCACGAAGGAGGATCTCCATGTGCTCTCCAAGTATGCACTCACCAACGACGTCGATCTTAGGAAACTTGCGCTCTATCGCGTCGACCTCAGCCAGGGATGAGATGATATGCCCTCCCTTTACGAGTACAGCACCGCAGTTGACAGAGAGGAGTTTCTCAGCCGCGACCAGCATGTCCTCCAGGGTGCTTATGGAAAGCTTCGTGCCCGTTTGTGCGAGAAGGAGTTCTGCTTCAGACTTGTTTGGCGTGATCACCGACGCGAGAGGAAGTAGCTCCGAGATCATGACGGCCAGCGCGTCCAGGTCGAGCAGGCTGTGGCCAGAAGTCGACACGCAAACAGGATCCACGACCAGGTGCGGCATCGGCTTTCCAGCGAAGCACTTCTTCAAGGAGCTAACAACCGTCTGCATCACCTCCGCGTCGTACAGCATTCCTGTCTTTATGGCCTTGACATCGAGGTCGGCGAGCACAGAGTTAATCTGCTCGGTATTGTTAGCTAGATGAAGATGGCGCCGGAACGGAGGTCTGAGCGAGACCGTACTTGCTCCTCAACGAAGTTGGGCGGACAAGGGAACACACCCTGCACACCTGTCGTGTTCTGAGCGGTTAGCGCTGTGATGACGCTTGCGCCGTAGCACCCGTTGGCTGCGAATGTTTTCAAGTCGGCCTGAGGGGAAGGTTCGTTTGTTTGCAGCCCTCGATGAGGTCCAAGTCCACGCACCTGGATTCCAGCACCCCCGCTGGGATCTGATCCCGCGATGGACAAAACGATGTTCGTGTTCGTCATGGTCGAGGAAGAAAGAAGAGGGGTCGGTTACCTTTCCGTTATCGCCTGTTATCGCACTTGGGATCGCAACTCCAAGCCATCTTATCACTGGTCTGATTGGGTCATGAATCATGCGAGGTCGGAGGCGCCTAAAAACTGGGTAGGATTCTCCCCAAGTGAAATGTCTTCACAGAAGAGACGAAATTGAAAAAGCATAAATCGATTGTCCGCGCAGACCAGAAAGAATATTGTACACAAAAAGACAAGCGATTCGGAGACTAACAAAACTACATACACCTTCATCTAACAACATCTTCAAGGAGGGACCGCCACTTCGATGGTCACATCCGCCGACTGCGTATACTTGTTACCGTTGATCGTGATACTTGCAGTAACCTTGTAGATGGTCTGCGGGCTTTGGGCCGCGGTCTTGTTTGCAATGATAGCAATGGAACCGTCGCTCCTGATTTCGAGGCCGGTAGGCAATGCGGGCTTGATAGCCCAAGTCAGCGGTTGGGAGCCAGGAGTGTCCATCTGCGCCGCAATGAGTTCGTCGCGAGAGTCAGTGTAGATGGTCCAAGGACTTCCGGCGTACGAGAACCCGCTGGGACCGATGGATTGCATACTGCAAATCCATTCCTGAGGAGAATTCGCCAGTTGAACCCTGGTGGCTTGGGCGTCGATAGTCAGGTAGGAGTTGGTAGCAGCAGACCGGATAGTGAAGCCTGCAGTCGTCACGTAGCTCGTGTCCTCGACCATAACCGAAGCTCCCTTCTGGGTGCAATCGAAGATCCACTGCTGCTGCTTGACAAGCTTCGCATAAACCGCAGGATCAGCGGAAATCGTGTTGCCTTTGTCATCCTTCCTCGTCTTCGAGGGAGGCGGAAGAGCGAGGATCTGGCCGCTGTCATCCACGGAGAGGCAGACTTGAGCTCGAGTCTTGCCGTTCGCGTCAGTTGTTGAAGTCCATATTCTGGTGAAGCCTTTGCTATCGGTTTGAACTAGAGCGACAACAATCAATATTTCATCACACGAAAAATAACCAAGGATGCACACCATTGAGGCATACGTCCGGCTTATAAGTAATGGCGCCTGATAGGACGACTGGAGCGGATATAGGGCCGGTTGGGCCAACCTTGAGGGCGGATATCTGGACGTACTTGGTCCCATTCATGAATACGAGGCCATCGTGCGAAATGCCTAGGGGGCCGTTCGGAGGAATGACGTTGAAATAGTCGATTTGAGTTTTCTTAGGCATGTATAAACCAAAATCTTTAGCCTTGCCCTCTGCGAAGTCTTTCAAAGGATCCGGGGGGTCTTGGTGGCGGAACATCATAACTAGCCAACGAAAACTATTAGAGAAGGCGAGCAAGATGAAAGAGTAACACCTACCGATCATGACTATCATACCAGCTGTAGAATAAAATAGAGTATGGTAAGTGAACAAAAAATCAACGACGAGACGCCTGCAATGACTGACCAACTGCAAAAGCAAGACTCAAAGGGCCCAACACCGCTGCGGCGAATTCCAACACACCAACCATGACGCCAGCCATGAGGCCGGCCTCAATACTGGTGAGAGTGATCGAGCTTGCAATCCATCCAGCGGCGATACCCAGGATCGCAAGACCTCCAGAAACGATATTCAGGATAGCCATGTCCTTCTCCAGGGGATCACTCGTCGTTGCAATGGTCCAAGCAGCCAGGGCAATGTTGACAAGGCCTAGGACGACCCCAGCGGTCCGTGCCAGGAACTCAGACGCGTTTCTGCCAAAGTATTTCTTGAAAGGTGCAGCCTCTGAAGCGTCCATTTCCATGCTCTCCTTTGTAGTGCGGGTAAGCCATCTCGTGAAGGTGCTTTGAGCCTACACAGACATTAGACAAACTGGAAGGAGTATTGTAGAAGAGCGTAAACTTACATCTTTGGATGCTGGGCCAATAGCGTTAATAAGTTCTTCATTTCCTCCCAGGAGGACTTTCATCCTGTTCGCCGCTGTGCCTAGATCACTCCAGAAGTTGATAATGCGCGCACCGCCTGTCGAAGGGAACGTCAATCATCAAATCGACAGGGAGCACGAATGTCACTTACGTTGAGCAATCTTGACCAGTGCGAATACAAAAATACTTATGGCAGAGGTCACAGTATAAGCCTTCTGCAAATCGGTCATGCTATCCCACCCTTTGCCAGGGCGGAAGACCATGACCAGAGAAACGACGCAGGCCAACATGAGGAAGCTGCCCAACATCCCTGCACCGCGAGCCAGCTTGGAATAATAGCCGTCCGCATCTGCAAGCACTCGCATCTTTGCCACGAGCGAAGCCCAACTGAGCGAAGCAGTAGTCGTCCGACTGACCGATATCAGCAAGTTCATGAACAACTCAATGGCCTGGCGGTCGCCTCGGAGTACAGTAATGTCTGCCACATATTCCTGTATGTCGGGGTCTCCACTGGTGGCGTAGGTCTGCAGGAATTGCTCCATGATGGCATCCATGTACGATATGTAGTCGGTCTTGTTGCCCTCCGCGTCGATGTACTGGGGTAGGATGGTCGTTAAAGTGAACGCCCGGATCATGTCGTTGAAGGCGGCTTGGAAGGAGTTGCCGTTGGCAGTGGTCCCATTATTCTCGAGGATACCGAGGGTCGCGCCATAGGCCTTGAGTTCGTTCGAGATCTCCGCGGAGAGAGTGCTGCTCGCCATCTTCGACTGTAAGAAAGGGAGGTAATACGTCTGCGTGTAGTAGAAGAGCATCATCGCCCAGTAGAGATTGTTGGAGACCGCATATGTCTGGAGATCGTCAAGGTCGTCTTGTGCCTTCTTGATCGCAGCCGCTTGGGACCCATCCGGGTCGGGTACGTCTTTGAAGCGGTCTTGGAGGTCCTTCTTAAGGTAAGCCCCAGCGTTGTTGATAGCGTCGGTGTAGTCGTTGCCCGACTGGTCGTCCAGGTACTGCTGGATAATCGGATACATTTGCTTCCAACGGAGACTATAGAGCTCGCTGCTCTGTTGTTGGTAAACGGGGTCGTTGGCCGGCAAGTCGCGAAGAACCTTGGCTGCGCGAGAGCCATTCAAAAACTGAGAAGACGGCTGAGTAGAAGAGGACAGCGCCGCGGTCAAGAAAGGAACTTGCAACGTCGTGTAGAACCGGGCGTTCTCGGTAGGGTTGCTGAAAATGATGTTGCGCACCTCCGGCTTGAGATTAGGACGATTGCCGCCGACGAATGTGTTGTGCAGGCCATCGTCCATGAAGGTCAGGATCCCGTCGTGCAGGTCGCTCATCGCAGCTCTTCCAGCAGCGTCGAACCACTGGCCATCCTTGTCTTGCTGCATAGGGTTGAGATTGAGGAGGCCTGTGATGTCGAGATCGCTTGACGCCAATGTCGGAAAAGCACCGCGTAGGGGTGGCGTTTTGGCAAAGAGTTTCCTAAGGGGGGCATGATATGCAGCCTCCGCGAGGATAGGAGAGGAATGAAGCTCGGACAACAACTTTGGTGCGGAAACAGCCTTGGGGCCGACGATTGAAGGCGAAGCAGGCGGGGGAGGAAAGGTGGCCTGGCCTTTGATTGCATAGACGCGCTGAGTTTCGTCGATGTATGCTCCGACGAACCCAAAGGCCGAGTCGTCAAAAGCAACAAATAACTCGGTTCCGAAGAGAGTCTTGACCGCTGAGGCTTCTCGAGCAGCTGATTTAAGAGGGATTAAGGTGTTATCCTTGAGGAGGACCCGTAAATAGGTCTGATCCTTGGCCTGCTGGAAAACGGCCGTATACTTGGAGCGATCGGGTAGGGTGAGAGCATAGTCGAAGGAAGGCGGCGTAGCAGGGGCGGTCGACTTGCTGTCCGTGATGCCGACCTCGATGACGTTGATCGGAAGTATAGGGTCGTTGTTGTTCGCGATGTCATACGCGAACACACCAGCCTTGCTTTCCCAAGTCGCGTTCTTCCACTGATCTGATTTGACGTCCCAAGTAAACTCATGGTTTCCAGACGACCACACAGCACCGGCGTTAGCTGAAACAGCGACAGAATACTGAGACGCATATGGCTTGAGTTGAATGGCGAAGGCGGCGTCGTTGTTGTGAATGAGTAATCCATGCGGCATGTCCTCTTGGACAAAATTGAGGTACCCGTGGAGGATTCCACCGCCGTCTTTATTCTTGAGATGGGCATTGAACGTGTAGGTCGTCTTGTTTGGGGAAAGGAGGATCTGGGATGGCGGCACCCAGGAGTTGTTGATCCAAAAACCGGTTTCGGGTGTCTTGAATGCAGAGAAGTGGATGGTGTGGCCCTCGAAGACGTACTTGGAGGTGTCGTAGATCATTTCATCTTTATGGACGACGGCATGAGGGGCAATCAGGATAGCGAATCTCCTGGGGGCACCATAATGCCTTGGATTCTCCTTCACAGCTGAATAAACGACTGCGAAAGGCGTCAGTATGAGGATCATTGAGGTCAATAGCTTTCCACACCTTCTGGAAGCGTCGCTTTGAGCTTGTCGTCGTGGTATTGCTGCTGCACCAAACGTCGGACGGCAGCCTTCTCTTGCTTCTTGGTGACGCCGGCTCTCTTCTCGCAGAACTCATTGGCACGTTCGAGCTGGCGCTTCAAGATAGCCGAGTTGGGCGAAAGGAAGGGGTTCAAAGCATGGATATCAAGTATCGGTAGGTAAGGCAGTTCGACACCCATACTATATCTGCAAGGTTCCTCTGGTTCAAATATGCAACCAGCATGATGAGGCTACTCACTGTTGAAAAGGTTACGTCGAAGGTTTGAATGAACTATGAGAGAAGCTCGCATTTTCTATAGCCATGTCCTCTGTCTTTATGTTGCGGGAAGAGCACCGTCCTGAAGTCCAGATCGACCGACAAGCGTCTGAAGACCAATGCATGAACCGTTTCCGCTCCGACCGCAAGAAAGCATATTCGAATGGTCCAAAAGTTCTAGGCGAATGAATGTCGACGAGATGGCTATCGTATCTATTGAGCTCTGCAGTTGCCGTGACCAGAACTTCGACGTGGGGTTTCCCTAGAGGACGGTCATCTGTCACCGCCCGTCAGCGATATCGCAAGCATTACAAACTGGGCTGAGAAG